AGAGAGAGAGAGGAGAGAGAGAGGGAGAGAGAGAGAGAGAAAGAGAGAGAAGTGCGCACATGAGCTTTTATATATTAGGATAGAGGAGATATTTTATAGCCCGCCATTATTTGTTCTAAATACTTGGTTGTCATAGGATTTTGACAAACAAATAAGCATGGCAGAAGTGGCTTAAATATGATTGCAATATTCTACTATGACTGCCGACATGACAGTAAGACGAAGGAAATGGCGACAAAAGTTAAAACATGACAAAAAGGCGACAAACTAGTGAATAGTTAAATAAAAGCTTGCAAAATACACTACTTTCGTGAGTCTTTTTCTAAGAGTATGCTTTATACTTTAGCAACACTTGTGAAAATATTTATTTTTAATTAATTTAAAATGAATTCTTTTAAATGAAGTCTTATAAACTAGATATACAGTTTCTGTTTCTAAAACACATAACTGTAAATAATTAGGCACGCGTGATCAATATGGTTATCAAAGAAAGTTAAATTTACGCGAAAGTTGTTTTCTTTACCCCAAGCAATGGGATCTTTCTATTTATTTAACATAAACGATCAAACGTCTTATGTCTTAGAATAATACAAAGACGAATTGTTTGTCCACAGGATGCGTTGTTGTCAAGAGCCAATATCTAACTACCTGTTAAAATGTTTGATTGTCAAAAAAAAAACACGACACATAATGACAATAATAACTTCAACTAGAAAATAACTTGACGAATTGCTCCGATATTGACAGTAACATATAATTGCGTGCATGGTACACACGCACTTAGAGATCAATGCTCGTTGACACATCGATATTTTCGCTCTATATAACAGAAATCGTTAACTTTAGAGACAGTTGTATTACCTTACAATCATCTTTTATCGCGGTCAACTACTCACTCTTCTGTGTCGCACACTTATTTTCCAGGGAACATTTTGATTTCACTTAGTCAAAAACACGCGTGCATTTGTTTTTGCTTAGCCAAAGACATGCATGCGATAACTTCAACCACTAGACCATGTTATCTTATACACGTAAATTTCAAAAGCACATGCATTTCAGACACATGTCCCTCTAATGCTACAACATTAATAAAATAGAAACAATGTATATTAAGAGGACCGTGATATGTCCTGATGATTTAATTTAAAAGGGCAGCGTGTCATATTAAGTGGTTTTGGAGTTTGAATGCTAAATTATGACCTCCCGTCCTCTCTCAATTTATTTCATTCTCTCATTTTTTAATTTTATTCCAACTCTTAATTTCTTCCTCTTAAACTCTTTCTGTAATAATTTAATACAGACACGAACATTACTCGTAGACAAAAGCTTGGCTCATCTCTTCGAACAAACTTTACCTTTCTTTATGGTGTAGAAAGACATTGCTTAAATGATGATGTAAATATGCTATCATGCTAATGTGTTCTTAAAGTTTCCAATATCTACTACACCCGTGTTTGCATTGAAGCACGTAACCAGACACTGCAACGCGTGCATAATAAATTGGTTACAGGAATTGTCTGTATTTCCTTTTCATAGACGAAGCTGATATTTGTCAATGCCTTTAAAGAAATACTTTGCAAAACATTATTCACAAAATTTTTTACATGATGTTAATACTAATCCATGCCGTGGAGTTGCTTCGGAGAGAGTGGGGGGGGGGGGGGGCCAAGTGGGGCTGCTGATTTAGGCCTCTATTTTTTAAATCCATGCATGTACAAAAATAAAGACGTGATACATGTTAATATCTATCTGATACGATAAGTCATTTTGTTACACGAAAACATAGCATATACTGTCAAGTATAGACAAACTTTTATCGTAATTATATATACACAACTCAGGCCTTTTTATTTGTATTGGAGACTGAACTGATCAACTTATCTTAAATCATTTTACCTGCTTGTTACACTTCAGTAAGGTTATATTAATGATTTTGGAGTTGTCTCTCTTTGGTGTGTGTAAGTCCCCAGCCAGCGAGCCTCACCTGCTTGGGGTTCGAACTCGAGACATTTTTATTAAGCAACCGTGAGCTGAACCGCCTCGACCACGCTAAAAACACCAAATGGAGTAACAAAATGCAAAAACATAACGTAGCTATACCAAGAAAACACAGATAATAACAATACACAAAAAGCACAGTATTAACATATGCCACTTCTTTTTCTTCTTCGTTCTTGATTGTCAAGTTGGAAGAAATGACTTCCAACACAACAAAGTATTATGTGTTAACGTCGTATGCGCCATACAGGTCGTTGACTCCGATCTTAGCAGCAACTGCTTGATTTTGGAGTTGTATCTACTAGATGATTACTGTTCCAGCTGTTAAGCCTCATTTGCCCGGGAAATTGAACTCGGGACTTCTCGGCTGCAAAACCGCGAGCATCACGGACCCGATTAGGCGACGCATATGTCATTAAATTGCTACGTAATGTCACATAGACGTTGTGTAACAACATAAAAGATCAGGCAGAAAACGCAGCAAGAAAATATTTTAATTCATACAAAAATCAATGAGCATAAGCGTGGCAGATATAGCTGATAAATTTAAATTGTAAGAGTAAATAATCCTACCCTCTTATTTTAATCCTTCTGACATAACTACAGGAAAAAGATTTTAATATAAAAGACATAGCTAAAGAAGACATATTCGAGGCACTTAATTAAATGAGATTTAAAAGTTGTATTACATTTATTGCATATTGTAATAGACAAAATGTTTACACAATTTAACGATTTGCTTGTCGAAAGGAGTTTATATAAATAATGCAATGTGTGTATATTATATGGTAAGTATCATCGCCTGACAAAATGTGTTATACATTTTTTTTGGCGGCAAAACAAAACGTAACAGTTCGATCTTACCTACTAATAGATTAGAATGTTTATTTATCTATGTATAAGAGCTAATTAGAGAGACTATAAAAACTGAAAAATAAAATCAATTTATATTTTTTTGTGCACAGTAGACTCTAAAGACATCTACCAGTCGAAATACCAGAGATAAATATTAATTTTGTAGCTCTTTGTGAATTGCCTCTAGAAACATCAATAATTAGTGCACAAAACTTTTAATTAAAATAGTTTTCTAATAGTAATTTTCATGTACTCTATATTACGTACATTAACATATGACATTGAACAAGATAGTTGCGTTATATTTTGTTTGTGATGCAGTTTACGACATGATGCGATTAGTCGTGGCATACAGTAATAAAATGACGCTGTAGCTAATGACATGATTTCAATTCAATCGCTAATTTAATTGATAATGACTGCATTTTTTGTGTAATTATCAACAGTTGTGGTTAAGAAGGCAAAATCTGCGTATGCAAGGACTAAATTATTATCACCTTATCATTGTAATATAATAAAGAAAAGTTTGCATATAAGTAAAAAAATAAATTGTCGGCTTTTTGGGTGATTTTTATTGTAGCTATATCATACTTATTGCTTAAAAGTCATACCAGTAGCTCAAAGTAAACACATTAGAAAAGGACACTACATCACCCTATTAAGTATACATCAAACCAATATTTAAATATAAAACCAGCATTTACACATCAAAGAAGTTGGTGCACAAGGTACTTTTTCACATTGGATGTTTACATTAAAAAAATGAAAACACAACATGATAAATAATAACAGAAAAGTAATAAAAAAAGCAATGGAGTAGTAAACTCAAAACTCGTTATGCCAACATAGATAAAAGTCTTAATGATACGCTTGAGCGCTGACAGCATGGCACAGTATACGTAAACACTCTCAGAAACTGGTAACATAATACGTAAACACTCACACAAACTGGTAACAAAAGGTAAATAAAAATATTTTTATTGAAATATCTACACACTTAATTATACAAGTAACACATTATATTTTACATAGCCAGTGGTTTAGCGAGGTCGGGTGTCACCCGTAGCGGCACTTAATGGTGTCAACCCCCAGAGGCGTAGCGACCCTTCCCGGGAACAAACTTTCAATTTTTGATTTGCACCCTACCCTCCTCAAACTTTTGATTTGCACCCCCACCCTCAAACGTTCAATTTGCACCTCTTAAAAGACTATTTAACACTCGAATTAATCACCTAATTAAGTGGAATTATCATTTTTCTCTATATATTTTGCTATGTTTTGTCTTGGTGTCAACCCCCTAAATGGTGTCACCCGGTGCGGTCCGCACCCCACGCCCCCCCCTCGCTACGCCCCTGTACATAGCATAAAATGTGACATACTGAACATATACCTCAGACTACAAAGGCATTTACTTATATTTAAAAAAATATAGAACGTGGGCAATCTGGTGATGTAAAATACAGAAATGAAGCACAGATTCTGAAGAATAGTAAATGTGTTCATACTTTAATCCGTCCAGGTATAAATTTACTAAAAACTAGAACAAAATGGACCACAACAATAGCTAAATACAATTCACAGCGAACAGTAACAACAGAAAAGTTTTAAAAAGCTACAGCAGCAATTTTTTAAAGTAAATATGTCAAATTACAAATCAATCATCCGGCCATAATGCTAAGCTTTATTTTCTGTAACCATATTATTATTTAAACATTGTAACTCATCATCACGATTAATGCAGTAATATGAAACAATTTTTTACTTGATCGTTAGAAAACTTAATCTACAGTGAATTACAAGGCGATAAAGTTTATTTATATGAAATTAAAATAATTTTTTAAAGGATTAAACACTTTATACACTTACATCTAACTCTAGGTTGCAATATAGTTAAATCGATAACGAGTATACGTTAATATAGATAAACACTAGGCAAATAATAGTTACGAGCCGACCCGCGGCGTATCATACGCCGCTATTTAGTTGTTTTATTTTCTACTTTTCAGTAATTTATAATTAGTGAATTCGACAGTAGCTCGTAACGACAGCTTGGTGTTTCCTATCGTCTCCTAGAAGAGAATTATATATATATATATATATATATATATATATATATATATATATATATATATATATATATATATATATATATAGATGAATGTTACACAATATGTTTTACTAGGTTTAATCATGCACAATAAGCCGATTTGCGTTGTTTAACTGGTTAAAAAAAATCCACGAACATGTTACAAGTACAGTATGCCTATGGTGTCATACATAAATGACGTCACGTTTTTTGGACTCTACAATCATCCCCCCCCCCCTCTCAAACTTGCAGTTTAATATTTCTTAATTTAAAACATCGATATTTTTTTTCCAAAATCTTGTCTAAACTCTGTTGGTGCGACGCCAAACCATCTGAACCTCCGCGCACCCTAATCTCACACCGTCACAAAACTACGGACCCCCATCCCACATACACGTGTGCCATCATTTATGGAAGACCCCTATATAGTTGTTTGTTTTTAATGTTTAAGATATTGATACAACGACTGGAATAGTAGGCCTATTGTATATTTAGGTTCGTTGAATCAAAAATTATAGTAACCGACAAGAAATAAAGGAATTAATTGTTTAAAAAATACTAGTGTAGCCTATATATTGAAATGTGAATACAGCTGTGTTTTAACAAGTCTTTAATAAAAATAGGTTTATCTCAGTCATTTAAACTTATACGTTTTGCAATTGTAATGGAAAAACTGTATTAAATAAAATCTAAATAAAAGAAAACTGCAGTTGAATACATAACAGATTCGTTAAATGATAGAAGATTAATTAAAATTGTAATTAAATAGGCAAAAATAGTTCATCCAAACAAAAATTATAATTACACTGATGTTATACCCAATGTAAACAGTGAATTATATGCAACCAGTCACAAACGCGTCTTCCTTCAGCAAAGTTTCTGCAGACGGTCTTTCTGCTGCTTCAAGTCTAAATGTTTTTTCTAGAAACTGTTGCAAATAAATGGATGATTCTACTGGTAGATTGTATTTAGGTTTCTCAAGATTCGCTCTTTTAAATATTACATTGACCGATGCAGTAGTTGAGTTTGGTGGTACGCCTGTTACCATCTCTACAACAGTGCTTCCTACACTCCTGGTAAATTTCAAGTTAAAATATATGTTAAAACAGTGACAAATATAAGCAGGTAAATTGTTTAACCGATACCCAATAATGTAAAATGATATTAATAGTTGACAAATTAAAAATAAGTATTCCTCAACGTTATACAATGCAATTGTTTAAAATTTTTATTTTAATTTCAAATCGTGAAAAAAAAATTCCGATTTTGATTATTTCACACTGTAAAACGAAAAATATCCACATATTATTGCTTGAATTAAAGAAAGTGTTTTTATAAGTATTAACAATGCGTTTATGCACAAAAATTACAATACAATTTAAAAGATTTATTTTCTCACCATATGTCCAGGCTAATTTCATATTTAAATATTCTCCCTTCAGGGCAGTTAATCATCTCTGGGGCCATGTATCGAGTTGTGCCCTTTTCTGCTTCAACTCCTTCTTCCTCGTTTAGTATTGTCGACAAGCCAAAGTCTGTTAGTTTTATGTTTGCTTCATCAGCCATCAGAATATTGTTGCCTGGTGAAAATATGTGTATTTCTAGCATATAAAATACTTTAAAAATAAATCGTAGTTTCATAAAACGCAAATTGGAATAGGGTATATGGGATATTGTATGGTGCAGAGTGATGTTATTTTCGGAACGTTTTAAATGGGATAGCTCGATATTTTCTGACCAAGAGTTACAATGGAAGGAAACGCGGCAAAATGGTTTATAAAATATAGACGTCATTTAAAGACGACCCTTTAGGACTAAATTCTACGTTTAACGGAACAATAAATAGTTTTAAACTATTCGTTAAATTTGCTTGTATATTAAGATATGTTTTTTCGTATGTTTACATTTATGTTATTATGGGTAACCAATAAGACTTTTACGTTAAGTTTTTAATTCGTGAGAAACAGTTACGTTTAAATAATAGTATTGGTGATTGGTAGGCTAGTATTAGTGCTAATGCTACTGTTAATAAAAACATATGTCAAAGTTTTAAAATATATAGCGATTGCGTCATTTACTTTTCGCTTCATCTTTCAATATTCGATTTATTAAGATCTACAATCCTTTCAAAAATTAGCAAGACAACTAGACAATATGATGTAAATATAAAAGTGGCTATAGTTTATACGCAAAAAAGTATCCCAGTTATGTACAGATGTCTTTAAATACTATTATCAGTAAAGTGTTAAGTAAGTTTCAATTATTCGCTTTAAAAACCGACTACTATCTTGGCCAAAGTGCCATTATCAATTAATCGACTTTCTGTGACGAGTTGAACCAAATAATATGTTCATTTGTTTTACTCATGTGCAAAAAATTTGAGTTGGGGATAAAACTGAGGGTAAATATCCTTAATCCCACACAAAGTCTATACATTGCGGTTGGTTATTTTGATGCGCTATTCATCTAATGGCGACAAAACATTTAAATATTTAACAACTGTAATTACAGTTTGGGAAAAGTGGAAAGTGTTAATACACTGCTCAGAAAGCGAAGGTATTTTTTTTTAATTTTTAACATTTACTTATTAGAACTATTACTTATGTTTATAAGTATTTATAAGCAAAGCATTTTGGAAAATATAGTGAAGTAGATTTACTAAGAATAGGGAGGCTGAAAATGTTTTTAACATCGACACTTTAAGTTAATTATGGCGTATATCAGTTAAGATGAAATGATGATTTATGTAGAGTTAATCTTAATCAGTATAAGCAAAGTCTAATTAACCTTATATTGCTAAAAAATAAACAAACAACAAAGTTTCTTTGTATTGACATTAATATCTATGTTACGACTGAGTTTAAATTAGAGTTTAATTTAGTTGTATTAGCGTCTATATCGTCTGAGAGTGTTGATGTACATTTAGATGACGGCTATGCATTGTGTATTAGTGCCCTAGTTTAACTTTCTGACAAAACTTTATATGTGAATGTCTGGTCAATTGACGTTAGGTTTTAATAATTCGTTTTATTAAACTGAATTTTTTTAGTTTGCGTAATAATATACTTAGAGGATATTTTAATTGTAAAATACAGTAATTTTAAAACATAAATATAGTGAAGTAGATTTACTAAGAATAGGGAGGCTGAAAATGTTTTTAACATCGACACTTTAAGTTAATTATGGCGTATATCAGTTAAGATGAAATGATGATTTATGTAGAGTTAATCTTAATCAGTATAAACAAAGTCTAATTAACCTTATATTGCTAAAAAATAAACAAACAACAAAGTTTCTTTGTATTGACATTAATATCTATGTTACGACTGAGTTTAAATTAGAGTTTAATTTAGTTGTATTAGCGTCTATATCGTCTGAGAGTGTTGATGTACATTTAGATGACGGCTATGCATTGTGTATTAGTGCCCTAGTTTAACTTTCTGACAAAACTTTATATGTGAATGTCTGGTCAATTGACGTTAGGTTTTAATAATTCGTTTTATTAAACTGAATTTTTTTAGTTTGCGTAATAATATACTTAGAGGATATTTTAATTGTAAAATACAGTAATTTTAAAACATAAAGTTATAAAAAAAAATTACATTAGAATGAGTTTAAGGCTTCAAGCTGGAATTCAGGTTCTTTTTTTATACTGCATTTTAATGTACGAAGGAATTTACTTTAAATTTAAATATATAATTTTGAGTTATCACACCAGTTGTATATATATATATATATATATATATATATATATATATATATATATATATATATATATATATATATATATATATATATATATATATATATATATATATATATATATATATATATATATATATATATATATATATTACCGATGCACTTTTATATTACATTTTACATCTACGATATCTTAACCCTTTGAGCCCGCCAGGCCGGTAAACCGGCTTCAACATTAGGCATATATGTCCGAAAAGCCGGTTTTCCGGCCCGATGATCTAGCGTCATATTCCTAGCGGCCGTCATACCATCTAATTAAATATAATTAGCGGAAGACTGACTAAAACTGCGCATATGTATTTTTAGTGCGTGATTATGATTCTAAACATAGATTTTAGGAAAAGTGAAAGTGTTTACATTTCGTAGCAATGCCGCCGAAACGAAAAGCTGAGCCACAGCCGTCGACTTCATCACATAAAGTTGGTGCAAAAGATGAAGCAAAAGACCGAAATATCAACAAAAGAAGTAGAATGACTGAATCTCAGGCAATACAACTACTTATTGATTCTGATGAAGAAGATAATATTCCTGGGCTATATTATGATGATAGTGACGTTGAATTTGATACTGAACTCAAGGACATTGAAATTGACAGTGACAATGAAACTGTTCAAGTAACTTCTGATGCACGTGGTGCCAAAGACAAAGACTTGCCGAAACGAAAAAAAAAACTGTTTACTGGTGCAAAACATGCAAAGTTTTTCTTTGCATTGGGTCCGGCAGTGATAACTGTTTTGAAAGTTATCACATAAAAGTGGACTTCTGGCGATGAACTAGTATGGCCAGGTATCAATAATAACAAAGCAATTACTAATTGTAAATTAGTTTCTTCTATGTTCTATCAAAACAATAATTACGTGTTCGTTTTATATACATTGTTCTGTTCATACATTGTAAAAAAATTAAGAATTTCAGAATCTTGCTGAATTGTTGTTTGATCCTGAGTCTGGATACCAAATTTGGTCTGATTATCTCAAACGGTTCAAAAGTTATAGGCAAAGTTAGAAGCAGATAAGTGAAAATTGGTTTGGCCCTGGGAGCTCAGGAAATAGGAGAAATTAGGCCAGGGAGGCCAGGGCTCAAAGGGTTAAGTAAATGATATTTCTGCAATCCTCACTAACCATTTTTCTAATAACGCATAAAACGCCAAAACGTTTATATATTTGTATTTATAATTTTTGCCTGATTAAAATAAGTCCTCTATACTCCGGATGTGATGAAGGACTGAGGAGTAAAACAGTGAAAACTGTCAAAATTTCAAGTTATTTTTGTGCAAGATTACAATACTTTCTCTATACTTCGAATATACGAGACAGTAAAAAGCTGCATAAATTTACACAAAGTTAATTTGTAGCCAGTTAAATTGAAATGATTACATCATTTTAGAGTTATTGCATATGAAGAAGGATGAGCCTGAATTAATAAGTTGGCCTTTTTGTTGATATTAATATTTGATCTTTAAATGACAGGGCACATACATTTTTGTCGTTAATGCCAGTAATGCACATGCAGTCGCACTCAGAAACAATCAAAGCGTAAATACTCATATGTATGTGTCTTACCTTTAATGTCTAAATGCACAATTTTATTTTCATGCAAGTATTTAACGCCTTCAAGAATTTGAATTGTAAACTGTCTTGTCAAAGCTTCATTTAGTCTTGTGTGTTGTTTAACAAAGGCAGTAAGTGTACCCTAGGAAAAATGTTAAATTATGTTCAAATTCAATTAAAATATTAAAATATATAATTTGAAAAGTATTATTCAAGACAATTAACAGAATGTTGCTGATCATATTGTTGTCGTGTGTTTGAATTAGCGTATTGTCAAACATGCATATTAGATGTAATTAATTTAAAGAAAATTACGATCAAACCTAACATTGCAATTTTTATATAAAAAATATGTTTTTTTCCAATTTCTTACAAAATCATTGACGTAATGTTCACATAACAAGCAAAATTGTAGTATTAAACTGTGTATTGTGTTTTTTTATATATAAGCTATGTGACATACATGTATGATTAGTGAGCCCGTAGAATAGTGGGTGTCGTTTAATTTATGTTTACCTTGTAATTGTGTATTTGTTGCTAAAAGTTTTGTAAACACATAGTAGTCACTTTATTAACTGCTATAGAGTGTATGTATTGCATATGAATAAAATATGCGTATATATGTTAAGATTACACAAAAAACTCAATCGCTGAAAATTAAACACACACTTAAAAGCTTTGATTAAAAAAAAAAAACAACGATCTAAATGATACATTAAATAGTGTCTATGACATTCTCAATTATTTTCTATAATTTTTCTAATTAAGCATTGCAATATTTCTTGCAAGAAAAATTTTAAAATATTAGCATTTTTAATTAATTTTAGTAATTCTTAAAAAAATAACGTAAGTATTATCAGATTTAGCATACAACTTTGACGTATATTTTAGAATGGTTATTGAGGTGCATGTCTAATTAAATAAAAATATTGTGCAATAATTAATGCATTTACCATTTTGACAAACTCCAAAAATAACAATAATTCAGTTTCGGTTTTTTGAAATCCGTGAAATTGTACAATCCTCTCCTGTTTGAGACTGATTAATATCGACGCTTCTTTTTGAAAAGTTTCCTGAATAAAAAGATTTTATTCTTATAAATGTGTACATACAACTCCCAGGATTAAATTTAAATGTGTTATGTAATAGACATTTAAAATTTTAGCAATAGCGTAAGTTTTTTGTAAAATATACTTAATAACACCTATTTTGTTGTAAATGATCAATATAAAAAACATATTGTTATGATGCATGTTTTAACTAGAGATTGTAAATTAAAGTAAGTAAAGTTTCCTTTTCAAACATGACGGTCTATGGGTCAAGTGAAGTAGAATTAACTTGTTTCTGTGACCTTGGCATATGAAGAGATAGTATGAAGAAATAGTATGGTCAGCACTATGCCCAGCCGCATTTACTTTCCCTAACTTGAGTTAGGTACCTATTAGATTCAAACTCGAGACTCTACCGCTAGACCACTCTGTCCCTAGAGATTGGCGCAAGGTGAATGCTGGTGCGAAGGGTATGTTGAACGTGTTAGAAGGATGACACGGATTGAAAGATAGTGACGTTTTTGGGTAGAAACTTGGTTGCTGTGCGTGTGTGAGTTAGTCTTATCTTGATCATCGTGGTGAAAGGGCGTATGCTGACCCGGTGACTCAAGTTGGGAGATTGATTCTAGAGATGTTAATGCAGATGAAGATTTTGAGTCCAATACCATAATAAATTAGAAGAAGGAGAATCATCTGTTCGTCTTAAATATAAGTTGTCACTTGGTCGTCCAAGGATGTGAAATGGCACAATGATTGCATAAGGTTGTCATCTCAATCTCATCATAAGGTAGTGATATATATATGGTGTTGAATCAAATGGCTCAAACCTCTCACACAGTCGCAACACATATAAACAGTGTTTACATTAATGTGTGATATACATTAGGTGTTTGATACTAAGTAGTAACGATATCCCACCGTGGAAAGGCGATCTAGTTGAATAATCAAATTTTTGTGTTTTTTATTTTAACTTTGAACACTTGAGCTGCCAACAGCTTTTAAAATGTTATTCTTGAAATTACAACTAGGCCAACGTTTTTTTTCTGATTCAAATTTATTTTGATACACTGTGATATTTACCATACATTTGTCTGTGCCACTTAGTTTTCGCAACGTTTTCTTTGCAACAAATTGTACATCATCAGGCTGGTTGATATCGATGACAAAGTGGACGCTACCAAAACCTCCCTGTGCTAACGGTGTCGGAATAATTTTAAATTCTGTCGGAAACTCGTCAGACACTAGGAATTCTGTAGATAAAAGTATAACATTATTATATAATGTCATGTAACCAAAGAAGTAATATTTACTTGTGCAAGAGGTTGTTTTTAGTTATCAATAGTAGAACTGTATTATTTATACAGTACTAAATCAAAATTAAAACTGTTTTTTCATACATCGCCAACTCTCACCTGCTTTGGGTGGTAATCTTCCTGTTGCACGTCCCGTTCTCCATCGTATAGAATGTACATTTGCTGAAATACTCCTGTTATCCATGCTTAATGATTTATTGAACAAATCACTAATTAATGTTTCATCTCCTATCATTTTTTTACACGCCTCCGGATTTCTACTCAAGTCTTTAAAACATTTTGTAGTAAAAATATGTTCTTCTATATCGTCATGTTTGAGAATCTCTTTGAGGTCTGGAAGGCATGGTATGATCTGTTTAGTTAAAAAAAAACACACACAATGTGTTTTAGATACACGGACGTAAGGAAAAAAAACTTAGTATATTTTTCTCAGACAGCATATTAAAGTGTTCAACCAATATACATTTTGTTAATAGAAACAAATAACTCTGACGTTCTACAATAATTGACATATTACACAATGTTATGTGAAGTATTCGCTAATACCCTAAATAATAAACCAACCTGGTTCAAGTATTGATCTTGCTCTGTAAATTTACTCAGTCCTTGAAGCAGCTCAGAATATTGCCATTCAGATAGTTCCTTATCCTCCCCTTTTACCGCAAGAAGTAACTTTTCTGAAAAATTCCGCACATCAAAATTACACACACCGACATGTTTGTTTTAATTGTATTCATATGGTCGCTTTATTTACTTTGATTCGACAATAATGTTGGCTGTATAAATATATGTATTTTTTAAATTTTAAAATTGTACTGAATTTCAATAAACATTTACAGAAGTTTCTTCCATTACAATTAGAATCTAAATAAAGTAAATATTAAATGATCTATCATAAATATTTAGAAAAGGAAGGGAGCGTATAGGGATATATATTCTGATCTATACATTTTTTTTAAAGATAATTAAAACATGTTTTTATTATGTGAAATTTGTAATACACAGATCTAGTCTTAAAGTTTACTAAAGTAAAACAATAGAAATTGTAGCATACTATTACTAAAACTAAATTTGTAATAGGATACTATACTACTGGTAATAGGATACTATACTACTGGTAAATAATGTTATCGACTAAATGAACCTGAACAACATACGAGTACATTACTTAATAACAACAGTAAAAATAACAAGCAATACTCAAAATGTATTACTGACAACACTGTATGTGCAGCCATGGTTGCTGTATCGTATATAGGCCTACTCATTATATAACATTTATTTACAAGAGGGAAATTTGGTTTTTAGTACCCCTTTAAAACATAATTTAAAAAACAAAACGTCAAGTCTGAAGAAAATGTTTTTTTTTTCTTTAAATTAAACTTTATTGTAACCCAAAAGCATTTACTATATCAACGCATAATGATTGAAAATAGAGGCGTATTAATACAAAACAAAAAATTATACCATTAGTTGGCCAAATAAGTACCACAATGCGATAGAAAATACTTTTGTACTAAAAATACGTTGCTATAAAAATAAACTAATTTATTTTAGATTTCTATCACGTGCATGTATTGACATAATACGCATATATAAGTATTATTCAAACCATTTTTATCCACTGAGTATGAGACTAGTACACAACAATTACAAGTTAAACATTGAATCATATCTGTATAATGCCTTCATCACACATGAAGCAGTGGTTTGCTCTTTTTAGACTTGCTACATGATTGCTTGAATTATTTTCTATACTTGAACTTAAATTGCTTGTCGATTTCGTTATTTGATAATTTGGTTAGCTTGACAATTTATTAATTCTACTGCTATATGTGCATATGTTTTTAGGATCTAGATGTTTATATCTCAAAACTTGTTTCTTCTTCTTATAATTCCTTTATCCTTGAAATGCATAAGCACGGATGAAAATTGTTTTCCTGAAATATAATTAGTCTTCGTCAGAATCAGTGTCTCAGGTAGTGTTGCAGATATCTGAGGAAATAAAGCAGGTAGTTTAATATTTTTGTTACAAAGTTAGAAGCTTATAAAATTCGCACCGTACCTTGTACCTGCCTTATCATGTAACAATTTATCAAATTAATTCGATCAACACATAATTTTTTACCAGCCAGGAAAATCAAAACAAAATGTATTTAATAATGTAAAAGCTTTGATTTGTCGGCACCTTAGAAAAAAAAACCAATTTGCACGTATCTTCTGCAGCCTGGCACAGCTAGAAAATCAGTCTAAATATTACATTGAACAGTGACTAAACACAAAACACTCTGACTTACCATTTCTTGTGTACGATGTATTTCACTATTGTTTTGACATCACACCGATTGCTTCATCTAAAAATAATTCAGCGCGTTTCTTAGATTTGCTACAGGTCTAGTTAAGTGAAATTAGGGTTGTACGAGTTTCCCACTGGTGCGTATTGCCCAACGCTAAATGCTACTTTGATTATTTTAGAAGTTGTATGGGACTGCACCGGATCGTCTTTTGCGGACTTATTGAGGGCATCAGAGCACCAGATAGATGACATGGTATTGTCGAAGAGAATATCACGGTTCCCCTACAACCCTGACAGATGTATAGGAGGATAACATAGCTGCTCTACACAATATAATCAAATATATATATATATATATATATATATATATATATATATATATATATATATATATATATATATATATATATATAATGGTTTTATGGCAAATTATTTTTTGACTATAATATCATAATGACTATAATATATCATGATATATATTTTGTTCGTGAGATAATTTTTTTAAAGATCATTTGTCTTTAAAATCATATATACATATATATATATATATATATATATATATATATATATATATATATATATATATATATATATATATATATATATATATATATATAAATATATATATATTTAAAATGTCTTAATAAATAAACATTGAACATAAAATTAATTATTTATATTTATTTACATTATATTTTAGATGTAAAGTAAGAATATTCTTCATTATGAGAGTATAATTAGATGTACCAGTCATAGCTTTAGTTATTTCCAAAAGTGTTATTGAATAAATGTTATTCACTTTGATGGATATATGATTGGAAGATAACTAGACGTTTGAACCTAATTTTCGCTTTTAGACACCATGATATGGCTAACGTATATAACATTGTTGGTATTTTTTAGCTTTCAAAAACATTGTAATCATTTATTAGTAAATATTAATTGATTGCGATTATTATAATCTTAGTTTTAGTACAATGTAAGTTAAAGCACATAAATTAAACCAACTGAATGAAATACGATTTCGCTACATTATCCATTCTTGGTATGTAATTTTGAAAAGTTAGTGCACATACTATTGGCGCAAAAACTATATAATATACTTTCCATCTCTATTTAAAATGTATAATGGTTGTATTCTATTGTAAAAAAAAATGTCCTTCAAATGTGTAGGGAATTTGGAACAGGACTGTATTTCACATTGTAGAAACTCTTACATATTAAAAAAAATCTCTTTGATAAATAGTAATTATTGCAACATGATTAAATTATTTTTATAATTTGATTGGTAATGAAAATTTCAATTTTTAAACGGTTTCTCCGTCAATATAGCATGTAGGCCTACTTTAAAAATCAAAACTATATATATATATATATATATATATATATATATATATATATATATATATATATATATATATATATATATATATATATATATATATAGCAAAGAGGTCAAGTGCCCTATAGGGCACTTCCCGGCGCCGCTGGCGCGTCAAATTTTGCACGATGGTGCCTTGGGGCGATAGAACACGAGGGCCGGTGACGGTTGGCCGAAACGTCTACGGAGATGGGGTCAAAACTGACCTCGACTGACCGGCGCCTTATATGGGCTACATTACGAAAAAAAATTTCCTCCGACGACCCCCCTTGAAATTTTGTGAGGTGGTAGGAGAACGCATTGGGTTGTCACAAAAAAACTCTCCATGTCCGGGAAAATTCGTTAAATGGGTCAAAACTGACCAGTCGTATTTCCCTATATAATCTTTGTATTTTATGGAAAAACAGAGGGTGATTTCAAAACGGATTTTAGGGCACTTACCCTCTTTACATCTGGCTAGATTTTTTGCATTTTGTCATTTGGTCTATGAACAGGGGAGGTAAATTTTTAATGTAATAATGTTTAATTATTCTGTATACTCTTTTCAAGAAAAAAAACAAAAATCATAAAGTATAGCATTGTTTTAAATAAATATTTTGTTATAAATTAAGTTTTGCATTGTACTGAAATGTAATGATTTATTGCTAAAGAAATTTATTATAATATTTGATTAATACTATTAAGAAATCCCTTGCAGTTCTAATTACCGTGCGAGTAATAAGTTTGCAATATTCCATCAATATTACAGTAGCATTAAATTACTCCACTGTATAATTTTAGGCTCTAAGCATTTAACATAGCAGCCAATCACCTGTTAAATTATCATTCAATTCCTCAATTTTTTTTGAAAACCTAAGCGAAGCTAGGCAGTATGCCTAGTATATATATATATATATATATATATATATATATATATATATATATATATATATATATATATATATATATATATATATATATATATACAAATATATATATATATATATATAAATTAAATATATATATATATATATATATATATATATATATATATATATGTGTGTGTGTGTGTGTGTGTGTGTGTGTGTGTTTAAAGCTAGGCAGTAAGCCAAGCGTAAACGATTTAGCAAATTTGAAAGATAGATTATTTTAAACAGAGTTGCTATTTTTAAATTAAAGTGTGTGGTACTAAATTTTTCGAGCACGTAGGGCGAGAAAAGTTTAATTTTTTTTATTCAAAAAAGGTGTTATGATATTATAAATGTATACTTTACAATATTAGTTTAAAAGATTTAACTGTAAATTGAAATTTATTAAATGAAAGAAAATAAAATGCAGTGCAAAAATATGAAAACCAATTACCTAATACCCATTTTTCTGCAATAAAGCCTGCCTCGATTAGCAGAAGTAGAAGCTGTGATATAAACCAAGTCTTTTTGCCCATGGATTTTGTGCTCAGTACAGCCTAATGAAATATAATATTAACAATATTTATTCATTTTACATTTATTGTAAACGTAGCAAGCGACAAATCGAAGTTGATATTTGATACACATATTTCATATTATTATCTTTTCTTTTATGTACCCAAGACACATTGGGCCGTATCAGAAAGCTCCCTCTACTTTTGTCGGTCTCCGGAAATTTTCCTGGTAGTCCCCCAACACAGACCTGCTTCTGTCCGCTGCTTTTTCACGTGTACCTTCACTTCTCCCTTGGCCTTCCCCACTTCCTTAGTGCGTCCAGTTTAGCGCAATTTCTGTTAAATCACCTGGATTTATTCGCACGACGTACTCCATCCAGCGTCATCTTTTGTTTTATTACTTCAGAAACTGCTTATATTTCCATATAGCTTAGAAGTTAAGCTAGCGAATGCTTTTTATCCTTCCCAAGCTCTTAGTTTGGAAAGAGTCAAGTGATCTGCTGGTAGCTGTTATTTTACCTTCCAGCATTTGCTGCCTCACAGTAAGATGCAAAGGACATTACTTTTGAAAAAGTTTTCATTCCATCTTCTAGGATATTCAAATCGATCTTCACGTTTTATGGTTGCATAGTCATGCTTGGCTGTAGAAATACATGTTTTACTTTCATCGGAGCAGTCTCTTTCTTAATAGTCAATGCTGTCTAAATGTATGAAATTGTTTATTCCCGTTACTTGTGATCTGTTTATTTTAACAGGTTGTTGACAAAATGTATTTTGCTTCATAACTTTGTTTTTTCTATTGAGTAATTTGAGTCCAAATAAATTAGAAAAAATAAATAGCTATTTCGTTTTTCTTGCGTATTTTTTTGACTACTGGCTAGTAGATTTATGTAATCTGCAAAAGCCAGGTTCTCTATGCTAGTAGTTTGTGTTTATTTGATGTATCTTGCTTTGTCTGTAGTTTGTGTCATCCATTACAAAATTAAAACACTGTGGGGGCAGAACAAATCTTTGTTTGACTTCTGTCTGAACATAAATAGGTCAGTGGATGACATTTATGATTTTTGTTTGTAGAAAATCATGCCATAGATGACATTCTTATTTAAAATAGACCAATGTTGTGTAATGTAATCATCGATATTTAGACCAACCGTCGACCACATACATCTTCACTCAAGAACTGTTAGACTGCTGGCGTCTTGTGCCATAAAATGTTTGAATATGACACATGAAGATGGAGAATAACGACCCATTCTTTGTATTTCGTCCCCCAGGAAACAATGTGTTTTTCTAACATTTATAAAAGTCAATCTCGTAAGAATAAAAAATAACAACAAATATGCATATTGATTCTTATTAAGAAAAACACGTAATATAGGATTTGGTATTTGCATAAAGTATAAGTTTTATAATTGGCAAAATGAATTAGAGAAAACATGAAAAGTAATATTACCAAGGGCAGTGTAGGCAAAAAAAAATCATTAGATCCATATTATTCAAATTTTAAGATAAAATCAACTATCAACATACTAGACAAACATATATTGATAACTTGTTACAAAATATTTGTCTTGCGCAGTGTAGTGGAACAGTATCTGGAGTGAAATTCGTCTCTCTACATCAACTACCATAGATTTGAAAGCATTTGATAACATCCACCATCCATCATTATGGAAGATACTAGAGCTATATGCGACATGAAAATCAGCAAAGTGAATGGTTCAAGGTAAAAAGAGGAGTCAGACAGGGCTGTGTTATCTCACCTGTCATCTTTCTGGTGGTAATAGACTGGATTATCAGAAGAGCCACTGAGGATAAGCCAAGAGGAATTGTTTGGGAACTTACCAACCACCTAGAGGACTGTGACTTTGCTGATGACTTGGCTTTACTCTCACATGCCCAAAAAGAAATCCAAGCAAAAACCACAAAAATAGAGCATGTTGCTAAAAGCGTTGGGCTAAAGATAAACTCCTGAAAAACCAAGCTAATAAAAATAAAATCCATAAGTGCTCTCAAGACCTTTGCAAATGGAGCAGAGCTAGAAGAGGTCGAATGTATGTACCTCGGCAGCTATATATCAGCAAATGGCAGCATGGAGAAAGAAATGGCCACCAAAATAGCAATGGCAGCACAAGCTTTCAACAGACTCGCTAAGATCTGGAAATCATCGTCGCTGCAGCAGTGAACTAAAATAAGGATTTACAAGTCTAATATACGTTCTGTAGGCCTACTCCTCTATGCTGCAGAGTCATGGAAACTAAACAAGAACGAGAGAGCCGACTCAAAGGATTTGAAAAAAAGATCCCTCCAACGGATCCTCAAAATAAAGTGGGACCACAAAGTCTCGAACAAGGCAATATGGCGAAGGACAGGATTAAACGACATTGTTTCAGAAGTTCGAGTGAGGAGATGGAGATATCTGGGCCATGTCCTACGCATGAGAAAACTCCGCAATATGACGCTGAAGTGGACTCCGCCTGGAAAGCGAAAGAGAGGAAGACCACTGGGAACATGGAGGAGAGAGATGGAAGAAGAAGTGCAGGCTACTGGCAAGACCTGGCATGAACTAAAGTGGCTCGCCCAGGACAGGGTGGAATGGCGGAGATTTGTTGTTACCCTATACTCCACAGGGAGTGATGAGGATTAAGAATAAGAAAAGAACAACTTTCATTATTTGATTTGTTTATTACATATTAAACCTTAAAATTGATACAGCTGTTTTTATTCGATCAAAGCGTCAAAAACGCGCATGTAAATCAAATGGATTAATTACATAGAGTTAACGGCTGGCTAATCAGGTTATCTCATTTTAATAATTTTTGTTATGATTTTACCTTTTTCTAGGTTGTACAGAATCTTGGTTATCACAGTTCCCAAACATAAACAAAAATTAAAACTTTAAATTTTGTATTTTACTGTAAAAATATCAAGCCATATGTTAAAATGAACTTACTTCGGTTGTGTTGCTACTAGTAAAATATTTTTTAGCACCTTCCCTCCGTGCTATGTTGTGTAGAGTAAGGATTACGATTTTTGTAATAAATCGGGTATTTGCATTCTGAAAACAAAATGTATTGTTATTAGTATTTCAATTAATTATATTTCAATAATACACTATTCAACTATGATATATATATATATATATATATATATATATATATATATATATATATATATATATATATGTGTGTGTGTGTATGTGTGTGTGTGTGTGTGTGTGTATAATGTAGGCCTATGTACCAAAAAGAAATTCTATAAACGAGAGAAAAGTACATGTAGAATGATCTTACCTGAACATATTGGATTGATTGAAGAAAGTCAGTGAATATATTTAGGATGTTCAACTCGGTCAAGCGCTAAATACATAGACATGTATTACATAACTATACACTGGCTTAATTTGCATGTTTGAAAATATATTTTTATTATTTTCTTTCATTTATTCTAATCGTGTCGGTCTTTCTTTATTCAATTATGATACTTTAATATAACATAAAATAACCATTACCATAGCGAAATCTGAAGAGTAATGACTACCATCGCACAAAAGACTCAACATATCACGGACTAAAGGCGTTGTAAAACCTGGTGCTGTTGTATCGAGAAAGTTTTCATCTTGTAAGTATTTCATCGTCTCGTCTGAAATGAAAATCCATCAATAATTTCCAACAGTCAAATGTCGCTGTAATCTACATATCTCATGAACGGCCACGCAGATTATGAACTTATCACACAGTAAAACATAAAGTACAAAATTAGCTGTTTTTTTTAAATACATGACATTACAAGTAAATTAACATCTGGCGTAAATACGATAAAAATGCAACTGGAAAATACGATAAATAATTTGTAACCATTTGCTTGATTTTAATTACTCAAGTGGATACTAATTGACCAGTTTAAAAGGATAGATACCAGTGCCAGGGTCATACATAATTTATTTACAATAATAACCAAATGTCCACGCTCGTAACATCTAATAGGAAACTATGAGTGCACATAACATTCAGTTTTTTACATTTAGCAGTTCTCTTAAAAACAATAAAATGACGTCATATGTTGTTAGAACTAACTCTTTAAACACGTATTTCTATTGCTAGAACATACATGTCTCTAAATACTGCAAATTCTAAAGTTAATTACCAATATAGTTAAGTTGTAAAAGAGAAGAGAAAAACTTCAGTCGATCTCCCTTGTTTAGAGTAGAGCTAATTGTCGATAAACATCTCTGGTAGATGAAGAAATGTAAAGCGTCGAAGACCCTCATGCTTGTAAACTCAGACATTATATCAGAAACAAAGTCGAGCAGTTCTTCAAAGCTTGGTGTCTAAAAGTAGGAAAAAAAATATTTAATTTTTAAAACTTGCAACTATATTTGTATCAGAAAAAAAAATCTTATCTAAAAAAAACGATTAATTATCATTTAATAAAATGAATCGCACCGTAAAATATTATGCATTTTCATGGTTTCTTTATTAAATGTTCATGTTCATGTTCGTGTTCTTAACGTGTTCGTGTACGTGTGCGTGTGCGTGTACGTGTACGTGTACGTGTACGTGTACGTGTACGTGTACGTGTACGTGTACGTGTACGTGTACGTGTACGTGTACGTGTACGTGTACGTGTACGTGTACGTGTACGTGTACGTGTACGTGTACGTGTATGTGTACGTCTACGTCTATGTCTACACCCTCGCCAACGCTTACGTTTACGTTTACGTTTACGTTTACGTTTACGTTTACGTTTACGTTTACGTTTACGTTTACGTTCACGTATACCTTCACGTTCACGTTCACGTTCACGTTCACGTTCACGTATACCTTCACGTTCACGTTCACGTTCACGTTCACGTTCACGTTTACATTTACATTTACATTTACGTTTACGTTTACGTTTACGTTTACGTTTACATTTACGTTTACGTTTACGTTTACGTTTACGTTTACGTTTACGTTTGCGTTTGCGTTTACGTTTGTGTTTGTGTTGTGTTTGTGTTTGTGTTTATGTTTACATTATGTTTGTGTTTACATTTATGTTTACGTTTGTGTTTACGTTTGCGTTTACGTATATTTTTATAGTTACGTTTACATGTATGTTTATAGTTAGGTTTATAGTTATGGTTATAGTTGATTTTATAGTTATGTATATAGTTATGTTATGGTTATTGATATGTTCATAGTTATGTTTATAGTTATGTTTATATTATCATAAGAACTCTATTACACTTGCCCCATAGAGTGTCAGGTTTGAAAAGGAACTTCACTAATAATGCAATGGTTCAATACGTGCATGTAAAAAGTACTCCTTACTCTAGATTGTTATTGAAAATTTAATACAATAAATAAGCTATACACTTTTCTTTAGAGATAAAGTTTACAATAATAACGTTTGTTTCTTTTATTATTTGCAGTGATAAAAAATTGTAAAGCAAATAAATAACTTTAAATAACTGATAATCTTTGTGCCATTAAAAAAGTTGTTGAATTTTGCAAAAACGTTTCCTATTGAAGATGTTTTTAACTCAGCCGATTAAAAATTAATTATTTTGTTGGATCCTCATACAAAAAAGTAACATATAACTTTACATTTAAAGCTATAAAAACTGTTTGCGAAATGCAATTTCGAAAATAATCTTTTTTACACTTAAAATGCTATGATTTACATTCAAATACAACGTTCATCTTAACGACCGTTTTCAAAAAATTAATTTGTATTACCTGTTTATTGAGAACAGAAGCTGACATTTTTAAAAAACAACTGATTGACCTGTAATGTTAAAAAAATACTGTTACATAAATTATCGCCTATTGAACAAGATTGAATATGTAATTGTTTGTATGCAATAATTGTAAGCATGTTTCTTTTACCTTACTATCAACAGTGAATGCGTAAACACACCATGTTGTATTGTTTGTTGAATCTGCTTATATTTTGAAATACGCAAAGTAAATATAATTTTACTTTTGGTTATAAGTAACTTATAAGATACAATATTAAAGATAGCATTTTGAGGCGCCAATTTTTTCAGCGATTTCATACGTGCTTGCCATACATATCTAGGGATAATATTAGGCAATATAATCAAAACACTAATTTAATGTTTTCCATATACAGATTATTTTATACCATGAGTGTACTTTGTTGAATAGAGGTTATAAATTAAATAGCAAAAAATTCTAACTGAAACTTCTATGAGAAAAAGAACACATTCTCAAACATTGATGAAGTCAAAGCTACTACACCTATAACTGACATATGGTTTGATCAAAGGAACACAATGTCGCGCGCATATTTTAGACATAAATCCAATCCAGTTCAATCTAGTTACGCCTAGTGCTGTGTGAATCACGTTCTGATTATGTCTACATAATAAAACCTTTTCTTTTATAACAATATACTTAAAATGTATTAAATAACTAAATATATGATATTTTATCCTAATATATAAAAGCCCATATGCAAACTTATCTCTTTCTATCTCTCTCTCTCTCTCTCTCTATTTTGTTACAAAGTCGTCAGTATATTCAGCGATATATAAAAAAGGTAGAAATACGGACTTTTGTTGAAAATAATATGGTGCATATTATAAATGTATAAAATAATTTTTTTTCAAGAAGGAAAATATAAAAAGGCATATTCAAATGTAGAAACACATTTCTAACTAAAGAGTGTATTGTCGTGTTTTACACGTTTGATTTTGATGCATGAAAGACAAGGTGATTTGGTGTCGCGTGGAGGGGTAGGTTTAGATCCCTTTGGATTTGACAGTTCGGTCTCAACTTGGACTATAATCTGTACCTTTGTCTACCGTTGGCGTTGAAATATCACTTTCTTTTAAAATTACTATTGTCGTGACAGAACGCAATAAACAATGACGTCACAAGACACATGTTTAAACTAAGGAAATAACACAAACTAAAGGCGTCATCTTACAATTTTAGAATATAAAGAAATGAACTATTTCATTCAAATTTGATTTAAATCTACTTATCAAGACGTACGCTGTGAAAGGTATACAATTTTCTCGGCCTAAACTTATAAAATTTACTTTATTAATTTGAAATCTAGATCGAGCTCTAGAGCTACGAAAAACTAGACTTAAGGCAGCTGCAGATTCTAGATCTTGATTTAGATACAGATCTAGATTTGGAGCTACGTAAAAACTAGATTTAAGTCAGCCTAGACTCTAGATCTAGACTCTATCACGAAGTTTTTATACATACTAAACTATTTCAGACCTACATTTTATATATATATATATATATATATATATATATATATATATCTATATTATATATATATATATATATATATATATATATATATATATATATATAGCAAAGAGATCAGGCGCTTCAAATTTGGCAGGTTCCTGCCTTAGGGCAATAGAAAACGAGCGCTAGTGACGATTGGCCGTAAAGTCCACTGAGAGGGGTCAAAACTAACCTAGACTGAGCGGCGACTAATATGGGCTACATTAAGGAAATAACTTTTGCCGAACGATCCCAATTGATACTTTGTGTCAGAAAAAACTCGCATATCTAGGAAAACTTTCTAAAGTGATCAAAACTAGACAGTCGTATTTCCCTGTATAATTTTTGTATTCTATGTGAAAAACAGAGGGTAATTTTAACAACGATTATAAGGTAGCCTACTTATCGTCTGTTCATCTGGCTAATTTTTGCATGATCCTAGATAAATGGGTAGGCTAAATAGAAAACTGTCGGTTTCATTGAAAGCGATCGACGGGGGCTAAAACGTGTCAGCATGAGCAATATTACGAAAAAAAACTTTTGCAGAACGACCTCTCTTGATATTGTATGATAGAACAAAGCATAGACGTGTCAGATAAAACTCCCCATATCCAGGAAACATCTAGAAATTGGCTAAAAGTCGTATTTCCCTCTATTATCATTTTATTTTATGTTAAAAATAATGGGGTAATTTCAACAAAGATTTTAGGGTACTTATCATCTGTTCATCTGGCTACTATTTAGCATGCGACTAGATAAAAGGTTATGCAGTATGGAAAAACTGTCAGTTTGACTCAAACCCTCGTTGCAGACTAAAATGTGACCGCGAGGGAAATTCTCTTTATATGAACTATATTACGAAAACAACTTATATAATATATAGAATCTTTGTATTTTATGTCAATAACAGGGTAACTTCAAAACACATTTTAATGTTTAACCTCTGTATATGTGGCTAATTTTTTGCAAGTACCTTTATAGAAGACTGTGCCTTATGAAAATACTGTTGGTCAGAACCAAAGCCCTCGACGAGGGCTTAAGAATGACGGCTAATGAAATTCTCCTTATTTGAGATATATACAAATAAATTGCCGAACGATCCCCCTAATATTTTGTGAGGTCGTAGATTGACCCTGGAGGGTAACAGAATAACATTATTTCCGTCGGAAAAAAAGCCCATAAGGTTTGTTAGATTTGTCTAGATGCCGTATTTTCTTATATAAACAATTGTTTGTGAAAAAGTAAACAAGGGAGGTAACTTTTCAAAATAATATTTTTTAAATAATGTTTTATACTATTTTAAGAACAAACAAAAATCCGATATTATAGTATTCGTTTACATAGATATTTTGTTATAAATTAAGAAATGTATTGTATTGATATTGTATTTTTTTGGGTAAGTGAATTTAATATAATATTTGTTTTATACTATTAAGGAAGCCTTTGCAGTTCTAATAACTTTGCGCGTAATTAGTTTGCAAATACTCCAACAATAATAGCATGACGTGAAATTACTTAGACTCTTTAAACTCCGGCCCTGATCATTATACAATCATTTTACACACCAGCTAAACATCAAATAAATTAGCAATTAAATTTTCAAAAGTTTTTTAAAAATACCAAGGTTTATATAAATCTTTGGTTGCTTAACTATGGAACTAGCTAACTTGGGATAAAATTTAATTTGAAATATTAGTGCCTATTCGCGTAACTTAGGTTTTTTTCGCGGACTCTCTATGTAAACTATACCACTAATTTTGTATAATTTCTGAATGTCCCAGATAGCTGAGTTGATAGTCTAATAGTTACCATGCGGGTGGTAAGGGTTCGAGACACATCATGTCAATGTTCATTTTTTTCAAATTTAAAAAATTGTGAATGCTATAGTTGCCTATCGGGACTTCACAAGACATGGGGCAGGTGAAGTAGAGTTCACCTGTCCAGTGTTCCTCAGATTGTATTTTTTATCAATTAAAAACATATTTCGGCCGAGCATGGCTCTTGTGACCTAATTAGGTCTTTTCTGTCCTTATGTAAATTAGTTTCTTGGTTTAAGTATCGACCTTGGGAGAGTTGTACGGTCACCTGAACTCCTCCGTCACGTCGTGTGATGAGATTTTAATTGGTTGTTCCGATCCTTAGCAGATCCTCGACCAATGGTCTTACGACATTAAAGTAACCTCCCTTGGTTTTGCTCTTGTATAAAAACTACAGAACACGAAATCTCAGGGCAGCTTTTGACCCCAGAGAGTGCCGTGTGTGTGTGACGCCATTTTGAGTTGTTTAGTTTGTGGCGGCATTTGATTTCCTTATTATAGGTGTTTTTTTTAGCGCCATTGGGTGTTTCTAATATTTTCCCACGTTTTCTTTAACTTGCTTTCTCTGTTTGTTTTTTTATTTGTTTGTTTGTCTTTCCAATCCAATCTTGCGATCGAAATTTCTGGCACTTCCCAGTTAGCTAGCGCGCTGAAATTTTCAGGGAAGCTTTGTTTTGGATGACAATTGAATATTCTATTGTTTTTATTACTAAATTAATCCATGGAAACATTTTATTGATCATTTTAGACCGCTATATAATTGTAACAAAAAACGTGGGAAAAAAGGGACATTACCCAGTAACTGTAATTTGATGAAAACAAGATTCGGTACTCCCCCTCTTTTTGCTTACTGAGTAGTTGTCACGCTGTGTTTGTGTACAAACAACCAGAACGTAACAACTGGTGGCCAGTATGGGGGAGACGATATGGTCGAGTGGTTGGGCACACGATTGCTATCCCACTCGACACGGGTTCAAATCGATGTGTTCTAGTCAGTAACGTATTCACACAACGTGTTTTTTACGAGTTGTCTTTTTACGAGTTGTCTTTTTACGAGTTGTCTTCGTTTACCCAAAAAAAAAGTGAAAAGATAAAATCGATAGCAAGATTTACATGCAAACAAACAGACAAACACTAAAAAGTAGAAAATAATAATCATTAAAAAAGTTTTAAAAAACCCACGTTTTCTGATTGAACTAAAAAGTAGAAAATAAATACTATACATCACAATAATGCAAGCGATCACTCTACTATAAGCTATCAAAAACGTGGGGCGCCGTGATTTTTCTTACAGTTTCTTATACTGTTGACTCTCTACAAGCTCCCTAATAAAAGTCAATAGTATTATCTAATCAATAGTAATATAACTTTTACTTCGGCGCCCCACGTTTTTCATCGCTTATAGTAGAGTGATCGCTTGCATTATTGTGATGTATAGTATTTATTTTCTACTTTTTAGTTCAATCAGAAAACGTGGGTTTTTTAAAACTTTTTTAATGATTATTATTTCCTAGGTGTATTATCTCACCAATGCCACATCGGTGATATTTGTTATCTAGTTTAGAGATTTATTTCACTAACTGTGAGACGGCTGTAAGTTGATTTTTTTTTATTACTATTACTCTTAGTTTCTATTATATTTTGGTTAGACGAAGTGTCATTTTTCCATACTTGTACACTTATTAAACAGTTGACAGTTACGCCTAGTTATGAGTCACATCATTTCTACGTGTCTACTCCCCTAGATCGTTTTTGACGAGCCCACGTAGTTTTTGTTGTGTTCATACTGTCTAGTGGATCTGTCAATAACTACACTTAAACGATCTGATATGCGGCTGTCACATAGCGATCATAATACTCTGACTACACTATCCAAGTCAAATGCTAAGGACAAAGCATTAGGTGAACTCTACTTCACCTGCCCTGTATCCCGCCCAGTTCCGATAGGCAACTTTATCATTTACATCGAAAAAAAAAATTCATTAACATGTGTCTAGAACCCGTGCCACCGGCATGGTAGCCTATTACACTACCACCTTAGCTATCTTGGCTCGTCACGAAAGTGACGTTTTTTGTTGCCTATCTGCTTAAGATACTTTATTTACTCGAATAGGCCCTAGATCTAGTATTATTTCAAATTCAATGTTATCTTAAATTAGCCAATTTCACCATTCATGAAAAAAGAACAAAGAAACTTAGAACATATACATGAATGCTGATGACAATGATCATAGACAATAATTAAATATACACAATAAAATAAAATATAAAGAATCACTGGCAATAAGTAAGAATTTTTTTTAAAAGAAATAATACTTACTGTTTACAATTGTGAAGATCATGTCCCTTGGTTTCGAAATTATCGTTAAGTTGCACTTGTAGTATTTGATCTGTAAGTCCACAGTTGCTCAATGCTTCGATTTAAAAAAAAAAGTATTTAAACCTTCAACCATTATAAGGTTAATTTTAAAAATAGAATGATCTACTTTAAACTAGGTATATAGATTTACCTATTAACTCAAAATCTTCTATGATGTTAAAGAAATTCTCGCACATTTATACTTTATAAGAAAAATCAGTTTGAAATTTATTATAATGGTCGTTCCCTTGATTTTTTGTCTAATAAAATCATAGACTGAAAACACCCATCTCCTTAAATACATATGACAGTAATAGTTTACAAGGACACAGTCAGTGTAGGTTAGTTTTCAGTTATCTTAAAATTAATTACTGAGAAGGGTAGATCTCCCCGACGGTTTGAGACTAAACTAAGTGCTTCAGTAGAAAAAAGCGTTTTAAATGTGCATGCAAGTACCATAGCTATGTCAGGTGAGATTAACAAACATACATCAACAATGAATTTATGTAACATACATTATTATAAGGTTTATATATAAATCTACCATTATGTGTATCATTTTGTACACACAGGGCCAACGTATTTAAAAAAAGAAATATGTAACACATACCTGTTTTAAGTTTTGAAGTAATGTGATGGAAAGCAGATTTTGACTTCTTTTTATCTATTGTTTTATCATAGAACAACGAAAGCATGTCAATAACTTGTGTATGTGCATTTTGAAACGCAATAAAACATAAGTCGACTAAATACACAGTGGGCAGAACCAGAAACAACATGTTGCCTCTTTCCATAGATACATCGTTAGCTAGATTGTTTAGAAAAATATTTAACGTTTTCTCGTGTCCAGTTTCACATGCAGTCATAAACGCATCCCAACCATTCTCATTGATTTTGAGCATATCTGCTCCACAGTGTATTAGAATATCTACGACCTTATCGTGTCCATTGTAACAGGCTAACATGAGTGCATTCAATCCATCTTTGTCCATATAATTTATGTCTGCTCCACTTTTAATTAGAGTGTCTACCACTTTGTCGTGCCCATATCTAGATGCAATCATTAATGCATTTGCATCCCACCCATCATCTTCTTCAACATGGATATCTACTCCACCATGTATTAGAATATCTACGATTTTGTCGTGTCCATTTTCAGTTGCAACCAATAACGCGTTAATTTTATTTTTGTTCATGTAGTTTACGTCTGCTCCACTTTTGATTAGAATATCCACGACTTTGTCATGTCCATAGTTACAGGCAAACATTAATGCATTCAATCCATATTTGTCGACATGATGTATGTCTGCTCCACGTTTAATATGAGTTTCTACGACTTGATCGTGTCCCTTGGTACAGGAAAACAATAATGCATTGTATCCATCTTTTGTGACATAGCGTGTATCTGCTCCACTACTGATAAGACTTTCTACAATCTTGACGTGTCCAAATAAAGATGCAATCATTAATGCATCCCATCCATCTTCTTTCACAGTGTTAATACATGCCCCACCTTTAATTAAAAGATTTACGACACTGTCGTGTCCATTTCGAGATGCAATCATTAATGCATTCCATCCATCTGCTTTCGCATGGTGTATGCCAGCTCCACAGTTAATAAGAAGGTTTACGACCTTTTCGTATCCACTTTGGGATGCAATCATTAATGCATTCCACCCGTCTTCATTTACATAGTTTATAGTTGCCCCACATTGTATTAAAACATGTACGACCTTATCGTGCCCATTTTGGGATGCAATCATTAATGCATCATACCCATCTTCTTTAACAAGATGTATATTTGCTCTATTTTGTATTAGAATATCTACCACCTTGTCGTGTCCATATTCAGCTGCAATCATTAATGCACTAAATTTATCATTGTTTACATTACATACTTCTGCTCCACATGTAATTAAAATATCTACGATCTTGTCATAGCCATATAGAGATGCCACCATTAATGCATCCCATCCATCTTCGTTTTTATATTGAAAACTTGCTCCACCTTTAATTAGAATATCTACGACCTTATCGTGTCCGTTTTGAGATGCAATCATTAATGCATCATACCCATCTTCTTTAACAAGATGTATATTTGCTCTATTTTGTATTAGAATATCTACCACCTTGTCGTGTCCATATTCAGCTGCAATCATTAATGCACTAAATTTATCATTGTTTACATTACATACTTCTGCTCCACCTGTAATTAAAATATCTACGATCTTGTCATAGCCATATAGAGATGCCACCATTAATGCATCCCATCCATCTTCGTTTTTATATTGAAAACTTGCTCCACCTTTAATTAGAATATCTACGACCTTATCGTGTCCGTTTTGAGATGCAATCATTAATGAATCCCCCCATCTATCTTCATTGATTATGCCTACTGAGTGTTTGATTAGAGTATCTACGACCTTATCGTGTCCGTTTTCAGATGCATACATTATAGCGTCATTCAAATGTGTGTTTACATACTGTCCGTCTGCGCCATATTCAATTAGAAAATCTACAACGTTATGGTGTCCATATCGCGATGAAAGCACTAATCCATTCATTCTAACTTCAATGTCACGCAAGTTTTCTATTCCATATTTAATTAAAACATCTACAACGTTGTCATGTCCGTTGTGTGATGCAAGCGTTAACGCACTCAGTCCAAATGGGTGTGCAGGGCGAACGTCTGCTCCACCTTTAATTAAAATATATACGACCTTGTCGTGTCCATTTAGTGATGCAACCATTAGTGCAGTCATCCCATTCTTGTTTGCATGGTCTATGTCTGCGCCACTTTTAATTAGTATATCCACGACCTGTTCGTGCCCATTGAGTGATGCGATGATTAATGCATTCAATCCGTTTTCTATAACATGTTTTGTGTCAGCTTTGTATTTAAATAGAAGTTCTACGACTTTTTCGTGTCCATTACGTGATGCAAACATTAATGCATTCCAACGATTTTTGTTTACATGCAGTACGTCTGCACCGCCTTTTAATAAAATGTCCACGACCTTGTCATGTCCATTGGCAGCTGCAATCATTAATGCATTCCATCCATCAAATATGACATAGTTTATATCTGCTCCACCTTGTATAAGAGTATCTACAACCTCGTCGTGTCCATTAAGTGATTCGATCATTAATTCAGTCAGTCCATTTTCGTGTACATTGTGTATGTCTTCTTCGCCTTGCATTAGAATATCTACGATTTTGTAGTGTCCATTTAATAATGCAAGCATTACTGCATTCATCCCGTTTTTGTTTACATAATCTATGTCTGCTCCAGCTTTAATTAGAATATCCACGACCTTATTGTGCCCTTTGAGTGATGCTATGATTAATGCATTCAATCCTTCATTAAGGACGTGGTGTATGTCTGCTCCACATTTAATTAGACTTTCTAGGACCTTGGTGTGTCCATTACGTGATGCAAGCATTGCAGCATTCCAACCTTTTTTGTTTACATGGCGTACGTCTGCACCACCATTTAATAAAATCTCCGCAACCTTGTCATGCCCTTTAGAAGCTGCAATCGTTAATGCATTCCATCCATCTACACTGACGTGGTGTATGTCTGCTCCACCTTGTATAAGAGTATCTACCACCTTGTCGTGTCCATTAAGAGATGCTAGCACTAACGCACTTTGTCCTTTGTCGTTAACATGGTCTATCTTTGCTCCACCTTTAATTAGAATACCAACGACATTCTCGTGTCCATTACCAGATGCAAACATTAATGCACTCCAACCATCCTCAGTAACAAGAAGTACGTCTGCCCCATGTTTTATTAAAACATCTACGACATTGTCTTTCCCATTTTGGGATGCAATCATTAATGTACTCATTAGATTAAAGTTATTAACGTCTGCTCCACCATTAATCAAAACATCTACGACCTTGTCGTGTCCATGTACTGCTGCAAGCTTTAAAGCATCCATTCCATTAACCCCTACATGTATGTCTGCTCCGCCTTTTATTAGAATATCTACGACCTTGTCATGTCCATTAAGAGCTGCGCACATTAATGCACTCAGTCCATTTTCATCTACATACTTAACGTCCGCTCCACCTGTGATCAGAATCTCTACGATCTTATCGTGTCCATTTTGCGATGCCATCATTAATTCACTGAAACCATTTTTTACATGACGAACGTCTGCTCCAGCTTTAATTAAGATATCTACGACCTTGTCGTGTCCATTTATTGATGCGTACGTTAAAGCACTTAGTCCATTTACATCTAAATGACCAACATCTGCTCCACCTTTGATTAGAACATCTACGACCTTCTCGTGTCCATTTACAGATGCTAAAATTAATGCGTTGAAACCACTTCCGTTTACTAAGAGTACGTCGGCTCCAAGGCTTATTAAAATATCAACTACTTTGTATCGCCCATTTTTAGACGCTATCATTAGTGCATTGAGTCCTTCATTATTAACACAGTGTATGTTTGCTCCACCTTCAATTAGCATATTTACGATATTATCGTGCCCATTTTTAGAAGCAAACATTAAAGCACTCCAACCATTCTCGTCTACATGAAGTACGTCTGCTCCACTTTTAATTAGAGTATCTACGGTATGGTCGTTTCCATTTTCAGATGCAAACAATAATTCATTCCGTCCATCTTCGTTTACCAAGTTTGTATTTTGTAAGATTGGTCTAGACGCCATCGTGTGAGCACGGACGATATAATTTTTGCATGAAGCTCAATACAACTGCCAATTTATGTTATTGATTGTGTACAGCATTTCAGGAACTAATTGTCTGTAAAAGATATAATTACGTAGCTCAGAATTCTGAAAAAAAATTGGCTAACATGAATTCCCTGGACTTAACCCCTCCCACTTCAACAAAATCAACCTACAAAAGCCCCCTGAACAAATACCCCCATGTTGATGGTTTATATCCAAGTGAGTTATGACAGGGAGCCGTTTTATATCTTGTTAACGAAGTTTCTTGATAGTCATTTTTAAAACGAGACTCTTTATAAATTTATCTGAAACGACTGAAAAACGTTACCCCAAATTCTGTAAAGATATAAAGTTGCGCTTTTCACCCTTCCCTATAAGTACAACACTGAGTTGACATTTTCTACATGAGTGCTATTAACATGTAACCATACATTTTTTTTTTCTGTGCGCCACATAATTTTGCACGGTTTTTCTGAACAAGGGTCAAAGTTTATATATATATATATATATATATATATATATATATATATATATATATATATATATATATATATATATATATATATATATATATATTATATATATTATATATATTATTCGCAAAGTGGCGAAAACAGCCCCTCCCCTCCATAAATGTTCTCGTCAGTAATTATCAACTCCCTAAAGTTTTATGGCACTCTGTGTCGAATTGCAATCGTCTTTTATTTTTATAAACCGAAAATATAGAAATAGCGGACCATCCCGTGGCGCCGCCCTTGTGCAATTGAAAACATTCTTTTTTACAGAAACCTCAACTGAAGTGTTCTAATTAACTCCCCAAAGTTTGATGGCGATTGGATAAACGGTGTCAAACCGCAATCGACGTTTATTTTTATATACCGTATATGGAGAAAAATCGCACCCTGCTGTGGCGCCGCCCTTGCGAAATTAAAAATGATTTTTTACAGAACCTTTCCACAGAGTGTTCTAATGAACTCACCATAGTTTGATGGCAATCGGATGAACGCTGTCAAACGAAAATCGACTTTTATTGTTATATACCGTATATAGAGAAAAAGAAGTTGCGCCCTGTTTTTTTTTTTTTCGCACAAACCTCCCCAAAATTTTTCTGAACAATTTCCCAAGGTTTCAAGGTGATGTGATGAGAGGTGTAGTAATGCATAAAAGACACACAGACACACACACACACATATATTGCTTTATATATATGTATATATATATATATATATATATATATATATATATATATATTTATATATATATATATATATATATATATATATATATATATATATATATATGTGTGTATGTATATTAGATATATACCATTTTATAGCAAATACAATTCATCCAAACACGGCACACCAAATACAACTATATAACACGGAAAATACCGTACAACAAATACGACACAAAAATCCGAAGCAATCATTACAACATAAAGTATAAGTGATGTGTTTGCATAACATACGTATATTTTATACATTGTAATAAAATAAGGTTTAAATAAACTTGGTAAAAAAATAATGGTTTAGTTTCCAGACTTGCGTGGAAAAAAATGTAGTTATACATATAGGATAAACGTAATTAAAAATACATATTTAGCCTACCTTTGTACACGTATTTTAATTCAGAACCTTTGTCAGTGTTAATAATACGAAAGAACACAAGAATCTACAGTCGTGCGCGTATGATGTGTTAAGTGCTGGGTTTTCAATTTCTATTTTTAGATACACGAGTAGATGAATACAACGTGAATTAGGCTTGAGTGTGTGTTTAGCAGGATATAAAAGTATCACGACTGGCCTACAACTACAGGCCTAGCGATGAGCACATAACTGCAAGGAGAACTTGTCACTTGTAAAGTTCAAGCTGGTTATACCCACTTAATAGGCCCAAAAATACATGAACAATAGTATAGTTGCTACGTATTAACACTTTAAGGACTGTAAGAATTCTGATGTTAATCTCTTAGACAGAATGCTTTGCCTGTCAAAAATATGACTATTTTTTTTTACTGGCAATACAGTTTCTGAAATTAATATTTCTACTCGTGTTCAATAACATCACACACATTATGGTAATGTGAAATCATGTTTTGTTGTAACTTTCATGTGTGTAGTTTAATAATAACTGATAAATGACACACGAAAAGTAACAACGTGACAAAATGGAATAATGCCTGAAAACACAACACATGTTGTTCTGTTTTGTTTACACACATTTCTTTTGTTCATTATTATATTGTTGAAGTTAAAGTATTCTTGTAGACTTTTCATACCGGTTTTAATTTTTTAGAAGAGAGTAGCGGCACGTGTTTATAAGAGTCCATTAAACCATTTGACATAATATGACCAGGCCTCTAAATGATACTTGAGTTTGAGACTATTTGATTTGCAATTTTGTTTTCGCCATTGCATTTGACACTCTATATTTGACCAACGGCATACACATCGTGCAATTTAAGAAACTCTGATTGAAACAACCAAAATGGTAGTAAAAGTGTTTATAAGTAGAAAATTTGCTTTGAGGAAGTTAATTGAGAAATATCACTGGGGTTAGTTGATCGCATACAAATGACAAGGGGTTTAATGATATAGAGCAGGGGTCTCCAAACTTTTAAGCCCGAGGGCCGCATTAACTATCTAATATCAGTTCAAGGGCCAGAGTAGAGTTACTTCCATGCATCCATTGAGATGGCGGTGTCCCCCGTGCCGCCCCCCTTAAACAAAAAAAAAAAAATTATATAGAAATATAAACACATTTTAAATGCACCCCCTTCCTTCTAGGAGAAAAAGTCTGTAAGAAACACTGTGCAGCCGACAACACACTCAATGTCCAAGTTTGTTCTCCTCGGGCAAACACAAAAACCCACCCGCCATTTTTTGAACTTGTCTCTTAGGAGGTCATTTGCAATTCAATGACCTCCATCTGCAGTTCATCTGGGCAACTGGTTACATTTGCTTCAAATGGGTTTTAAAGCAGTCACACTTCTTCTGCCTATGAATCCTAGTCAGAAAACCGTTACTGAAACTGCAGCTTTAGGTCTTAGACGATAATTCATGCAAATGATGTGGGGAACTCAGCTGTTGCTTCAGCCATGAAGAGCTTGCACTGCTGAAATTGCGTCAAGTTGTTGCCCTGTACTTGTTCCAAAAACATGAAACAGCTGTCCAGCGACTCACCCATTGCAATTGAAAAATTGCGAAACTTGTTAGCAGTTTCCACTATCTGAGTGACAATATTTTCATCAATGTTTGCAACACGGAGGGCAAAGGTATTTATACCCAAAGCCAGATTTTCAAATTGTTTTAAATTTTTTGAGTAAAGTAGGCCTACCTCAGCCACTTCTAACAAACATTTTTTTCCGTAACAAAAAGATCTCTGCGGACCGGATGAGAGGACCTTGCGGGCCGCATCCGGACAGCGGGCCGTAGTTTGGAGACCCCTGATATAGAGTAATTGCTCGTCATCTATTATTTTAAAATGAAGCAACTTATGCATTTACAGTAGCTAGTTGCACAAGTAAATAAAATATGACGTCACAGGCTCTAAACCTTTCGTGAATAACAAATGTTAACCGTTTATCTTTGTTAACCGTTTAAAAACGATAGGGCGCGATTATGATTATATATACCTACCTTATTAGCAGCGGTTATTGACCGTATCCGCCATTAAATTATTATTTTAACTTTTTATTAGTTTTTGTTAATCTCATATTGAGTTTAAAAGGTGGGTTTTCAAAAATTTACTTAAAATAGTAAAACATTGAGACTAACTCTGTTTTTAATGGGATTATCTTTATTATTTTTTAAACTTTCTAACTAGCATTTTTTTTATGTTTATCCGTAGAAGACTGCAAAATGTCTCACAATCTAGGTACCCTATTAGTGGTATCGATACCGCATTTTCATGTTCGTTCGTTTTAAAGGAATTATGTCACCAATTTAATACCTTTTTTCTGAAAGAATTTTAATAGTTAAACTACTAAATGAGTAGATTCAAAGATAGTAAATTAACCTTTTTAAAATTATATAAATTGAGCTAATACGATGTGGCCTGTATTACGTGCTACTAATGATTGAATTAGGTATACGATAACTCAACACACAGTTGAAATTAAGTTATAAATAGAATTATTTAAAACTAAAAATAATGACAATACGTCCGATTTGAGTAAGACTATATACTTTTCACTTTAATATTTTAACTACGAAAATAATCTTTTTCTTAATGCACTATAATAGAGTCTTAAATCTAAAAATCGAGAAAAGCGGTATCTCTAATGCTTTGTCTCTCTATCCGTTGGTATTTAGATCAATTAAAATAAGAAAACGGTTAGACTTAATATGAATTTAGTGTGAGTGGGTACATATTTACTGCTATTTTCACAAATGTTTTTACTTTCTTCTTCAGACGCCCACAAGCTGTAAAACACGACTAACAAAATAGATACCGTAGGCCTAAGTATTAGCGATATCGATACTACCTTTCTCCACGTTCGTATTCCGTTATATGTGTATTATATTTGTAACCAATGAAGTTAACACTTTTGTCTTCTACTCAATGGTAGGTTCGATCTTTTATTGACAAATAACATCAAACTAAAACGAAAACCAAACAAACCTCCAAAGCCCCTAAGTCCGGTAAACCGTAAACAAGTCGGTACTGGTGTCTTCTATCTTGGTCTGGATTTACAACTCGTACCACGACCAAAGTCTAGTCTCCCGTCTCTCGTGTAGCTTCTGGTTATAAGGTCCGGTCTTGTGTCGATGAGT